AGCAGAGGCCAGCTCGGGAGGCCCCGTGACCTCTGGGAGCAGAGGTCGGCGTCGTGCTTTGACTCCCCAGATTGCCCTCCTGTCGGCCCCAGTGTGTCTCCCCAGATGGTAGGGGAGACAGCTCCGCCCTACTCGCGTCCCTTCGGCCATTTTCGCTTCTGCTCCCGAAGGGACCCGCCCGCGCCGCGCTTCGGGGGTCGATTCGATTCGCGGCCGAGGCCCGAGGCCCGTGCGACCCGCCGGCAGCGCTCGGGCACTTCCGTACAAGAGGAGCCCGAGGGCCGAGGCTCGGGAGTACCCGGGCTCGGCAGCGTTCGGCTCTGTTCGGACCCAAAGATGGTAGAGACTGCCCCAGATGTCGCACCCCGTCCCAACCGGGAGCTCCCCAGGGGCGCCGGAGGCCCCCGAGGACTCGGAGGTGTGCGTGGGAACCCCGGCAGAGCATCGCCATGTCGTTGTCAGGCGCTTTCACCTAAGGAGCGCCCAGGTTTGGGGGCTGGCGGCAGCCTCCTCGCGCCTCGGCCTGGTCACTGCAGGTGTTCCTCCGGCAGGTGCCGGCCAGGTCCTGCTTTGCCCCAGTGCCGTGGTCTGTGTGTGGCCTGCCTGGGGGCCTCACGAGGGAGGGAAGAAGCTTTGCGGCTGTTAGAGCCTGCGGTTCTTGTGGTTAAACTGGTTTAATGTTGGGATTTTGGACCATGAAGTTTTTCTTCAGTTTTTTGTGCTTTTTGCATAATGTTTTTTTCTGGATGCAGAAAAGAAACGTGATACCATTCATCACAGCCTCAGAGAAATGAGTTGTTTTTCCTGCAAAATTTTATAGTTGTGTTTTTGCATACTTGAAAGCATTACAACTTTTCTGTCATAAGTTCCTGAGGTCGGGTAATTTCCAGGTGGAAGTAACTCAGCGGGACATGTTGCCCGTCTGAGGCCACCTCCTCTGGGCAGACAGCTGCTTGGCCGAGTCCAGTGTCTTCAGGCAGGGATCTCCTCGGCACTCCTGGGGTGTGGTCTAGGGGAGGACACAGACGGGGGACAGGTGTTCAGTGGCGTGTGGGGGCGCTGGCTTCATGGAATATGCAGGACTCTCTGGGCCAGTGTTTGTGGGGCACCTCCCGTGTGCCAGAGACTGCCCCAGGCACGGGCCGTTCTAGAGCGCTGTGTGACCCAGCCCTGGAGAGGGAAGGAAAGCCGCTGCAGTGTGCAAGGGGGCGGGGGGCGCTGAAGGGACCTGAGCCTGCCCTGTGCTGACCTGGAGAGGGGGACCGGGAAGGGAGGGAACTGTCTGTCGGTGACACGGCAGGTGTCTGATCACAGGATGCTTGGAGCCTTGGTGTGTGGTTTTCTCCTAAAAGGGAGCAAGAAGCCCAGGGGCGGCTCAGTGGGACTGTGGCGGGGGCGGGTTTTCACTGCAAATGAAAAAGGCTCTAATGCCAGGAGAGCCTTTCCTCTCTCTTTTTCTAAGACCCAGATCACCTAGCCTATGGTCTAGAAGTATTGAGTGAGCACTTAGTGTACAAACGTTGAGAGTCCCTTGGTTAGAAGTGCAGATAACTGACGGAGAGATGCTGTTTTGGGGCCCAAGTGGGAGGCCCCCAGCTCTGACAGTATGCTGAATCAGACTCCTGTGTTGCAGAGGTGACCACGGTGACCGTGGCCAATGTGGGCGCCTCCGCAGACAACGTCTTCACCACGTCCGTGGCGAATGCCGCCTCCCTCTCGGGACACGTTCTGGTAAGCTGCCCTGCGAGCACTTTTCCCCAGAACCCAGAGGGCATCTTCCCTAAGCCTGGCTGTCCCAGAGGCCTGCTCTGGGTTCCTTAAGTGCCCTGAGGGGTGTGACTGTGCTCCTGTCTCCCGGTCAGTCCTGGCCAGATGACCGCACAATGGGGGACTCTCCTGGAGCTTTGCCACAGCTATCAGTTACGGTTTCTCTCTAGCCTTGTTCACACACCTGGGACACTATATCCCTGGAAGCAAAGTTACTGTCGTTGTCATGGCAACAAACAGAAAACTTGCGCTCTTAATTATAATAGCAGACTACAGATTTCAGAAACTTGCTTTATTTCTTAGGGTGTCAGAATGCATATGAGTTGATAGCCAGCTGACAGTTTCATGCTTCCAACTGGTCTCTCCTTCCCAGCAGATTCTGGTTTGTCCTCTTTTCTAGAAAGCACTGGAGCCAGAGGGTCAGGGAGCTGGGGTGCAGCCTCCTGGGTGCAGTGCTTGCAGTAGGCTCTGAGGACAGGAAGACCCGCAGACTTAGTGTGATCTGGGTCTCAAATATCTGTATATTCTCATTGGCCTTAATAAGGAAAATAGTTTTGTGATTTGTAAATGAACACAGAATGTTCCCTTTTTCCAGTAGAGTTGCTTGTGTTAAGTGATTCAGACATGAGCAGTGTTGACACGCTTACTGAGGCAATGACTCTCCAGGTGTATGAGCCCAGGCATGGGTGTAATATGCACATGTGTGTGTGTCTGTGTGCTCATGGGGTGGAGGTCCCTCGACTCCACAATGAGCTGGTACTCACTTCCCCTGATTTGATTTTCAGATGTAAGGAAAGGTCTTTTCACTTTGCCTTCGTCGGTTCTATTCTCACCATGAAAGCATCAGAGCACCCCAGGATGTTGGGTTTGAACAGGCTGCTTGGAGTGAGTGTCATCTACCCCAGGGCTGTCTGGGAAAAGCCTTGAGAGTTTGTTTGCCAGAGCCCCGTGAGGTGTGCGCCTAGGGCCAGCAGGGATGGGAGAGGGGCATCTGGCTCTCCCGGGGAGCAGGGCAGCTTGAAGGGTGAGGCCAGGCCAGCCCAGAGGAAGTAGGTGCTGTCATGGTAGCCCCTGGCCACCGTGGACAGATGTATGAGCAGCGTGGTTGGGGAGGTCCTGGTGTCTGGTGGCCATCGGTAGAGCTGTGCATGGGGCATGGGCATGAAAAGGGAATCCTGCCCCAGACCCCGGCTGTGACTGTGGACTTGTCTCTCAGAACCCTCGCTAGAAACCTGTGAACTTGCAGAGGCTGCTCAGGTAGACGTGAGGGTACTTCCTGTTTCCAGGGTGTATTTGTGGGACATGTTTATTTTTTCCCTGTGGCAGGCGGTTGTGAGCATTTGCTCAGGGCCTCCCGGAGCATTGTCTTTCTTGTTCTTGGCTCTGTGTTTAGGTGTTTTAGGGGCGTCTTTGAAAGAGGCCCCGGAATCCCAGTTGGTGCCCTTGTTGGTGATGGTGAGCAAGGACCAGGCGACAGGCCGTGCAGCTGTTGTCTGAGACGACTTAGGGGACGTTCTTTCTTCCAGTCTGGCAGGACGGCGCTGCAGATCGGGGACAGCCTGAACACTGAGAAGGCCACGCTGATTGTCGTGCACACGGACGGGAGCATCGTGGAGACGGCCGGGCTGAAGGGGCCAGCTGCTCCGCTTACTCCAGGTGTTGCCCGTTCCTGCCCCCGGCTTTCCAGAGCAGAACGCATCTGAGCGCTCGCGGGTTCACTCTGGAATTGGCTTCTTTAGTTTTGTGGTAAACTTGGAATAGGAATATTATTGTCTGAGGAGAGAAAGTGGGCTTTTCCAGGCCGAAGAGGAGCTGCCCAGAGCGGAAGGGGACGGTGCTGCTGTGTTGGGGTGGTAGTGGTAGAACCCGCCGTTAGAGTCCAGGAGGTGCTTGTATTTTTCCGGTTATGCTGGGAGTGTCCCGCATCTCTTATTTTCAAAATGCTTCCTTTGCTCAAGGCCCTCAGTGCCCTCCAAGCCCTGCTGCTCCTGGCCAGGAAAGAGGCGGGACCAAATACAACTGGGACCCCTCGGTGTACGACAGCGAGCTGCCCGTGCGCTGCCGGAACATCAGCGGCACGCTGTTCAAGAGCCGGCTGGGCTCAGGTGAGGCGGCATGGGCCCCCGCTGCACAGGATGCAGACACGCCCTTCCCCTGGTGGCTGCGCAGGGCCCGGGCCGAGTAAAGCAGGCTGGGCTCGCGGCCCCTGGGCACTAGAGCTGAGGCCGGGACAGGTTTGGGGCGTGGTGGGGGCACAGTGAGAAGAC